TTCGTACTTTCATTTTATTGATGTAACGCTTAAGTCATCATGTCTCATAGCTTCCGAATTTCTGTTTTGTTGTTGTTATGGTTGTTGTCTTTGTCGTTCATTCGTTCGTTTGTTTATTTGTATTGTTCAGTGTATATTTCAATATTTCGAAGTATATATATATTAATAATTTTTAATAATATATATATATATATATATATTATTAAAAAATATGACATGAAATGAACTGTAAGAAATGTGTGTTAGGAATAATTATATTATATATCACACTTTAAAATGATTTTTTTAAAATATTTCTGTTTTACTGGTTTAAACATCATATCACAAACGTTGGAAATTACTGCACTGAGCCCTTCAAATTCACTCAGGGGACTGACTGGTCCCTTCAAGTTCACTCAGGGGACTGCCCCTTCAAATTCAAATTCGTTCAGGGTACTGACTGGCTCCTTTAAACTCATCCAACGACCTCCAACATTATCACTTATTACTTCGCTGACACACGGCCTCCTCCCAGTGATTTATTAAAAATCGTTTGAATGCACGAGCGTGCAGTAAATTTTGTTTCCCAAAGAAGGATGGGAACATTTCACAAATGGCAACTGGAGTGCGTCTGAATGAATTATACCGCATTGTGTTAGAGCTTTTCCTTTTGTGTTATTATTTATACGTGCTCATTCAATTGTTGTTTTCAAATGCCTAAACATATAAATATTCCGGGTATATATACATTTGCTGTTCTATTATATTTTTAAATAGATGCTTGTCAATGTACATACACTGTATATATATATATATGTATATATATATATTCACTTATTTACATATATGTAATACATACAGATACATTACATTCGTGATATACATACATAATACACCTACACATACGAACTTGCATAAATATTACATATATGCATGCATACATATACACGTTTGTACACGGTTACTCGGACACATGCATACATATATGCATTATTAGTGCATGCATGCATACATACACAGACATGAAAACATGCACACGTAAGTTTACGCGTTAAGTATACACGCGCGGTGCATGGATGCCTAACAGCCATGGAAGGCGCGAATGCGTGCACATCACCTCGTAGCACCATTGGTAGCGTAAGCTTATCTGCCTGCACATGTTTGAAACAACCATGAGTTATATATAGATGAATGAATGGATGGATTGATGGATGGATACGCAGCATAAATGGATACGCGCATGGATTTATGGGGATATATATGCGTGTGCGTGCATGTGTGGATGCATTGATTGAAGGATTGAGGAATGATTGCACGGATAGATAGATGGATGTATGCATCAATAGAAAGATGGATGAATGGGTGCATCAATGATAGATGGATGCATCGTTTAGCATTCCTATTTACTCTCAATTGTATATAAGGATTTAAAATGAGTTCGATATGATTACATTTTTTCCATATAAATGATGTAATGCTGTGATGCTTATAAATGGATACTAGTTCTTTTATGAATTAAATTTAATTAACTTAGACATCAATTAGCTAGCTGATTGGCGGGGAAAATTTATTTCATTTGTATTTTAATGTTAGACGATTGTCAAAATTAATTGTTTAATTTGCTTTTGGTCTATTAATGAACATTTTGATTTGCTTTTGGTCTATTAATGAACATTTTGTTAATTATTTTATTGAAAAAAAATTGTAATTAATTCACACAGACACGCTTACACCCTTAAGCACACACGCACACACACACATGCATATATATATATATATATATATATATATATATATATATATATATATATATATATATACCCATGTAAATGTATCTTCATTTTAGAAAACTTTTAAAGAAATTGTGAATTCGATTTAGCTTCAATGAAAGAATGTAAAATTAGTAATGTTATCCTACATATATGTATATAAATATTTATTTACTATTGGTAGGGTGAGGTATATGTGAAGGTACTCAGCAAAAATTGTTCTCAAACTTTTTATTTCTACCGCAGGTAAAAATTAATTAACGCTTGAATCAGATTGTGTACATGATTTATATTACTGTTGCACTCATCACGATGATTTATATTACCAGAATACTGCGCTCGTCACGAAATGTTTTCTACCTGAATGATATAAACGTGTGAACCTCGCTGGTGAGAAATTAAGTTTACGGACGAACTGTTTGGAAAGAGGTCTCAAAATGTCTTCTTATTTTGAATAGACTCATTCAATGTAACAATTATTGCCCCAGCTCTATACATTTATTTTCACTGCACTTCATTTATGCTAAGAGTGGTTGTAAGGTTGTTACAAACGGTTTCCCATGAAAACCGTTAGAAAGAAAGAGCAAAAGAGAGAAAATTGTAAAAGAGAAACGAAATAAATTAGAGAATAATAAATAAATGAGAGAACGAGAAAGTGATTAAGTAGGCCGAGCTTTATCGGATGCGCCTCAAGGTGGAACCATAAATCTAAATAAATAAGAATGATAATGACGCTGAGAGGGATGAAAACTCAAGCGAGAACTTGTGAGTACATACAATATAAGATTTTTTCAATTTATTTATTGTGATTTCGTACTTAGTTACAATTAAACTTTTGTGTTATTAAAACTGTACGTGACTTCATATTTTACGTACACACAAGCTGCACATCAACGCACATACACAAGGCCCATGTTGGTTATGAGCTTCGGACGTGCAGTGTTCAAACCGGCTCGTCGTGCAATAACTACAAAAAAGACGTGGCACTTCCAGCGTCTGAGCTAACTTGCCGGTCAAGATTGCTCATCAAATCAGCCACCCGCGTAGAAAAATGTTCATAAGTAGATCATGAAGAAATGCTTGAAAATTACTTTCTATTCAAGTTATTGATAAATGTAGTTGCATTAGTTGCAAACAAAAAATCGCGTAAATGTTTTTTGAGCCTAACTGTACATGTTTAGATGTCAACAGGTGGGTTGAACACAGTCAGTAGGTCTTTTGTCGCAAAAACCTGAATGAAGTGCAGAAAACCCTGGCATATTATACGACTTAATATCGCAACAAGATTGTTAAAAGCTTTTAATCACTTTCTGAGTCTGTTAACGGAACGCATGCGTATTTATTTGCGTATTTGTTATTGAATGAGTGCTGCAGTTATGTTGCTGAGTGGTTTGATCTGAAAATCACTTTCATGTCAGAAAATTACAAAAATATTCTCTCAAGATTAAATTGTGTCAAAAATATATTCCGAGTAAAGATTTTTTGCGGGCAAATTCAACTCATGTTTCCTCGTGAGCACAACACTGAGTACTTGAAATTATTGTTTGACAAGTACGAGCTTCAAAAAATCCTAATTTTGATAGCACCCAGCATTGTTCCGTGCAAGTAGAGTAACAAACATACGGCAGAAAATTTATTTGTTACGTTAAGCAATTGAAAAAATATTTAAAAGGTACTAAAAAGTGAAACTTTTGTCAGTACTGTTAGATATATTTTTGATAAAATCGAATTAGTGAGTTTTGTAGGAGATTTGGTTTTCATGGACGGCAATGCACAAAACAATTATATCATTAAAGCAGTACAATGAAATATGTTGAACATTTTGTTTAGTTTCATTTTTTCTTCACAATTTTTTTATTTTCATATTTTTCTTGCAAATTTATGTTAAAAAATATGTAATACCTTTATAGTTTGCGATGCCTGGATCCATTATCATAATTTATTTCTGATGTCATGGAAGGCATACTACATATAGACACAACACAGCGCAAGGCAGACATGTGAACTTCGTTCTTCTCTTTCATTTTCATTTTTTCTTTTTTTCTGCAGCAATATTTGTACACAAGTCAGATATGTATTTTCGTATGGGCAAAATGGACTATAGCCCAGGGCGGCAAATTTAGGTGGCAGCAAATTTTGGAAATAGGTAAAGAACAATTCTGAAAAAAATTTTAAAAATAATAAAAGAACAAAATTGAAATAAAATAAGCTACTGAGCAGGTCGCAAATTATTATTCAAATTTATAGCTGCTGTTATAAATGTAAATGCGTAGAACACATACAGAAAAATTTCAATTCTATTTTATAACAATTTTGATTCGTTAATTTATTATTTTAGGTGATTTTACAAAACTTTGAGAATGTTATATAATTTATAAATTGTTATTTACAATAACATTTAAAGGAATTTGATAAAAAATCATTTCTTCTGAAGACATTATCAACCGACAATTTATATTTATATTTATATTAATGTTATTGTGAATAATGTTAATATTTACACTGTAAACGAATATAATAAGTAAAAAAACAATTTATCAAAAAGTTTCTATGACGAAAAATTCATTTTGCTAAGACCACACAAAAACTTTAATCCTCTGGCCTTGACCTTTCCGTTGTAGCCAAAATCTACGAATCATGGGCAGAACATGTTACAAGTGTAAGAGAGGACTTTGACATTTATGAAAATGGAGCTTTTGTAGTAAAGACTGGAATCACTGAATACAAAGAGACGACTACAAGAAAAATGAAAAGAAAAATTCTAAAAGGAGAGGTCAGAAATGACGAAACTTTGTTCAAAATGGATATAATGTGTTTTGTGTTATTTTATAGTAAGTCTATATGTCTATCATTATTAATTTTTACTTCCAACAGCATTTTAGAACGGTAGCGTGGCGGTTGCGTTGATGTAAGAGAACACCAAACGAGGAAGAGCAGTGCGTACTGCGTAGTAGTGAAAAGAGGAAAAGAATGGTGTTCGTTAGGACGGACCGGACACGTGTTTCGTCCCTTGCACCGCAGTTTTTCTTTTATATTGCCCCCACAAATTACTTCGTCAGTTTTGTGGCGTTTCTATTTATTTTTGAGGGTCGTTAGTTTTAATCGTTAAGATTTGCGATCCGACTGTAGCCATAATATTATATTAAACTGAACTGTTTGTTCATTATAAGGGGTGAGATAAAAGACAAAAAATTGGACTAAAACATTTCACTGCTTCAAGTATTTATTGAAGTATGAATGGTTGTTGAAAAACAAGCGATGCCCACGAAACAGAGGAGGGCAGCGTTATAGTGATAGCCTATGGACGGCAGATTATCAAATCCGCCTCTGACACTGTATATTATGATATCATTTATGTAGTGTACATGTACGTGCTTTGCATAGGGAAAATAATTTGTTTGCACAGAATAAATGATGATGAGCATAAATATCTGCGTGTTATTCATCATCCAAACAAATGCTTATAATTAATTCTGTGTATAATGTAGATTTGGTCATATGCACTTCATTCGGTCAGTTTATAAAATGATATCAAGTTTTTGTAGAATACATTTTTATGAAAGTATAAAAGGGTATAAGCTTAACGAATATTTGTTGTGAGTTGTGAAATGACAGAGAATGAAGGAAGATACTGCACGCCTATTAAACTACGTGCAAAGGCATGCATTATTTATGCTGATTTGATTAAATGGCGTGTATTATCACTTTTCTAGAATTTATAAGGAAATTTAAAAATTTAAAACTTTTTTAGTTTTATTTCTGCGGGCAAGAAATAAAGAAATTCTTTGAACCAATTTTCAAATTCGATGTATCTATTATTCAAAGGATTATAGGCTGGAAAAATTTAAATGTTCTTTGCGTGTTCATTCGTCGTTTTTATCTTCGTGCATATCCGCTTGAATGTCTGCGTGCATGACACTGTGCTGCTGTTTCGTTACGAACTTTCGCAGGATTGTGGCGCAGAGACGTGAATGGACATTGTGGGATAGCTTTTAAATGAAAATGCGTAGCAATTGTTATAAAGAGTTGTCATGGGAGGTTGGATGCCTGATCTATGCATCACTTTTCATATCGTGTATATGCGTAAAGTCGTACGTCTGGGTCTATTCAATATGTTAAATGTCTTGCCAGGTACTTTTTCTGTAAAAACAAATGGGATTTTTGAATTCAACAGATTACTTTTAAGTCTCGATTATTTAGAGAACAAAAAACATGTCAAAAACACTAATTTTTAAAAATGAGTAGAAATAATAAAAAATAAAACCATTATGAAACTTTTTAAAAACGAAAAAATGACAGTTTATGCACATATTTATATATCTATTCGTGGACATACTTCATAATCACTTGATATACAATAAAAAAAACAAATACAAATTAATACAAACAAATACAAATTAATACAAACAAATACAAAATAATACAAACAAATACAAAATAATACAAACAAATACAAAATAATACAAACAGACGTACATGGCGTACGCATTTCAAAGCGTTTTTATTCGTGCATGCGACCCGTTCGTACGTACAGTACAAACAGGCTGTTTACATTTCTACGTACATTCAACTGAAGCAGTAGGTAGCAGTTGCAACAGCATTCATATATATTGTTCATGGCACGAGGCTTGCATCCACCGAGCGTTCTCTAACGTACAACAAACTGCGTGTGCGCGTTAAAAACTGCGCGGAGAACATTTTTTCAGCATCATAGTGAAACAACAAAATAAAAAACCTGAGTGCTTTTGTTACTGTGTTTGTATATACAAATACAAAGACACACGTGCACACACAAATACATATTACATATGTGGCGCATGGGTTTATATGCACATCTGTATTATACATTATATATATATATATATATATATATATATATATTTATTTATATTTAAATATTTATTTATTTATTTATATTTAAATATTTTTTAGTTTCATATTTTTTTATATAAATTATAAAATCGTGTTCTTTGTATCTCCGCCTAAAATGACTATCACACATTTTATCGATTAGTTTCAGCCATTTCACATTTTATCCATATTTAAAAAAATATGTTGTTGTCATCCCAATTTAAGAAAAAACGCACGTTAAATAATAAAAGGATGCAATGAATTTTTTGTCGAATTTCACCAGCCAGCCAGCCAGCCAGATAGATCATCGACAGTCTCACTCAACCCTCCCACAAACCTCAAATGATGTTTCTTTTAAATTGTATTTATCAACAAATGTCTAAAAAGGCACGATACTCAATAATTATTAAAAAAACTTGAAAACTTTTTGATTGTGTTCGCCACTCGCTACTTATTGAAAAACTCATGAAAATACCCATATGGAATATTTGGTAATGTTCTTAAATGTTTTAAGTTGCAGCTTAATTAACGCACACAACTAGTTTTATTTTAATCGTATTTAGCACCTGTTAAAATTTGGTCAAGACTCGTTTTTAGACCCTTCATTGTATTCATTGCACTGAAATGTACACAGATGTTTTCATTATAACATAATTTCACTCAGGTTTTGGTGATTAAGTTAAAAGATTTACATTTTGCCATTCTATGATTAACAAATCTATGAAAAAAAAGGCTGATGTTCAATCCTGAGAGGGCTAAGCAACAAAAAAAATTGAGTCTCCCCATTTTGGCGATTTCGACCGTACGTCGTTTTACATCTATGGATTTGTATGGCAGATATGTCACATAATGTTTACACAAAGTTTTTTTTACCAACAAAACAACTATAGCTTGAGCTTACAAAAAGTTTTCTAAATAATTTATAAGGCCTAGTGCACTTGTATGTTCATGTTTAAATGTTAATACCTGTTTTATGGATTGTTAAGCGGATATACTGCAGAATTGCAGTCAATTCAGCATCAGGCGATGAGGTTGATACCAGGTGGTTTGAAATTGGATCACGTTTTGTAACCGATTCGTAGCCACCTTCACGTTAACATTTTAACTTTTACTGAATTTATAATTGTATTTTTGTATAACATGTCCACATCACTGATCTTATTTATTGCATCCGTCACCATCAGTTGTCACACGATGCTACTTTCATTCCAGTTAGCGCTTCTATCATTAATAAAAAGTGCTTTACAAACAGTATGTAATAATAATCATCATTAATATTATTATTTTTTTAAATTTTGTACACATACGTGCTGTATTTAATTGTATGTTTTATATACATAAGTATTTTTTCAAATTAATAATATAGTGTGGATTAACAGAGAAGGTGGGTTGAGCGACAAAAATCGAATAAGATTATGTAACCGAGCCCCATGAAAATTAAACTATCTTGCTAATTTGCTAAAAACGAAACACCAGGATAACTAATATAAACCTGAAAAATTATTTAAAAAAATAATATTTTTTAATATTGAAAATTATTTTAAAATATTTTTTTATTTCCCAGTATGGAGACATTCAAATTGACACTAACGTTTGATGTTCCTTCTTACTTAGTTGACATAAATTTTTAATTTGTTCACTTTGTCGCACTATATCATACCGTAGAAACATTGAAATAAATACTGAGTAGCCAAAAACGTAGTATTGATAGCTAGCATTGTCACCAGCGAACTGAGCCAGCGCGCCGAAGTTGTTAGCTAAGCCACTGAGGCAACTTCAGTCTAATTATTTTACGCCTAGTTTAGATTCAAACAATGCACATCATACATTTATGCTAAACTTTTTTTGAAAACCTCAGTCTGTCAAATTGTCAGATTCTGATTTAAAGAATATTAATAATAAAAAACCTAATTCTGAAGAACATGTGCAAAATAACTTGTAGGTGATAAACCATACGTCGCAAACTTATAATTGTATGCACATTATCACATATCTAAATTCAAACACATACGTTTGTACATTTACATACGTACATACATAAACTGATGTAAATATACATGTCTCTTTCTATTTTTGTATACATACATACGTATATACAGACTGACGTACGAAAGCATGCAGTTCATCTTCAGTCTCCTCATCATCATCATCTTCGTCGATGTCACGATCATGTAACAGCGCGGAACAGTGATATTCTTCTAGGCTCTTTGAGAATTTACTCATCTATAACATTCAAGTTTAAACTTGACTGCGTGGAATTATGAAAAAATAAATTCTAAAAATATGTGAATTGTTTTATATAATTCTTATAATCATCAACGGATGTTTTTCTTTAATCGTTACGTCGGCTATTTTAGTTTTCAGTATCATATGAAATGATTGTTCTGATTAGTGCAATATGATGATGATGATGATTCCTATAAATTTATCGTTACCAATATTCCAACCTTCATCATTGTCATCACCAACGTCATCAGTAGCATCATTTGCGGCAAAGTTGTTATTCCGTGTCATCCTGGTACAGCACATCTTCAGCATGCTCATCTTGCTGTTTTCATCGTTTTCAGTCATCAACTGCCAATCCAATGCAAACGTTCCTCTGGATGTGCTGGAAGGAGTGCAAGAACTTCAACAACAGCAGCAGCAGCAACAACAACAACAGCACCCTGAACTGCAGCAACAACAATGGATGTCTATGTACTCGGCGTGCAACACTTGCAAAGATATCAAGCTGCCCACTAACGACAGTGGTTTGTTTCTTTTGCTGCATCTTCTCTCTTAAATTGCTTGCCAACCTTACCTAACCAAGTTTTTCATAAATATTTTCAGTATTAAAAATTTTTCGCTAAGATAAATATTTTTTTTTGCCTACATGTAGATAAAAATGTGTATTTATTTTGTGTAATGTGCAACAAAACTTGATTACAATGAAGTATGAATCGATTGTGTATGAAGACTTCAATTGTCAATGCGACGTACCAAACATCATAGGACAAAAAAATTCAGATCAATACATTTTCTTTTTACCGCGCTTCATCTGCATGGATGTTTTCCAAAATTCAAATTTCAATTTTAGTGGTTGTTTACATAAAATTCATCAACCAACTGTGGATTCCCAGCAACTTTCTAAGATATCCATTTCGTCAAATCACACCTGGCAGACCCGCGGCTTCTATCAGGCCTTGCCCGTTGTTTGGAATAGATTAACCTTCTGAGATATGATGACGATGTTTCTCATTATGTTGTCAATTCAACTATTATAAAAAATTACACCATGCAAAACACATCATATTATTATTATTTTTCAATAATGCAAGCAAGATGGATCGTAACTTGAAGTAAAAATGTGTAAATATAAGATGTAAGATGTTATCTTTGCGTAAACTCATTTTAAATTTTACATCAACCAATAATACGTGACTTGATTATTTGCACATTGTTGAGTATAGAACAGAAATAAAAACAAGTTGTGTTACGACAAACATTTCAACAAATACAAATACAACAAAAACAGATTTGACAAGAAATATCTATTTAGTGAAGTGCAAAAGCGTGTAACTTTTCAAATCATTTTAATTTTAAATAAACCTCGTATTGTTAATTTCAAAATATTTTAAATTTTAATTACAATAATTAATTGAAATTTGTTTGTAAGGCTCGTGCTGTTGCACGCTGTTGAATGACCTGCGGTGCATAAAACTGACCAGCATCCCCACCTTCCTTACCCCCCAACACCTGGTGGCAGCCTACCTGGACAACCAGCTCATATCCACCATCTCTAGCGATACTTTTACCAATTTCAAAGTAAAATTCCTAAATTTCAAATTATTTTTATTCTAAAAGTCACTTTGTATTCATCTTTTTATTTTAAGATTATAATTTTTTGTTTTGTTTCGCTAGAAATGTTAGTTTAATTTGTTTGTTCAATTAATTCAAATTATAAAGATTTAAATTATTAACAATTGCTTTTATGTCGATTTTATTTGATAATTATTTTTATGTAAAACGTAGCGTCCTTCCTTGTCTTCCATGTGTTAAACGTCCTCCATGTTTTTAACCAGCTTTTCTTTAATTCTTCATCATAAAAATGTTTTATCCAAAATTTGTAAGCTTTAATTAATTTTTCAATTTAAAAAGTAATTATTTCTTTGAGAAATTTATCATATAACACGCGTTGTTTCCCGATATTTTTAAACAGATTTTATTTTTGTATTTCTTAATCCCTCTAATATAAACTTTTGTAATTTTATTTTATTTCAAAGTTACCTCTCTAAGAAGTTGTCTTAAAATTTTAGTTAATTTATTTGAAAAAGTTATTTTAAAACTATAAAACAAAACTTTTAAATTTATAATCCTTTCATCCTTTCACACGTTAGCATTGTATAGCTGGAGTGCCACTGAATGGCGACGAAATTGCTTTTCCTAAAAAGTTGGTCGTAGTGACACCCAAACAAATGCTTCTCATTAGTGAGACATCAACGAAAGTTTGAAAAAAATATTAAGTAAAGGCAGGCGCTTTTTAAATATAAACAAAAACTTTGGACGGCGCGATGCAGGGTGGTGTAGTGTTAAAGATGCCTGGCATTGCTGTTGCTGTGTCAGGGTTCGAATGCAGAAGTTATCCAGTTACCCCATCTCACGCGTTGATTTATTAACTTACGCTGTGTGTGTGTTGTTGAAACGTCTGAAAAGTGTTAACGTGAGAATAGTAATAAAGGCACGCACGAGCATGGTATGTTTGCAAGCAATATTACAGCAAACTTTTTCTTTTTCGAAGTGTAAACATTACAACCTTAAATTAATGCATTTTCACAACAACGACAACAACAATAACAACAACCACAACATCATCATCAGCAACTACGTCTCATCTCATTGTTTGCCTCTAATTATCTCAACCATCAATTTTTTCATTTTTAAACAAAATTTTATTTCTAAAATTACATTTGAAATTTTTTTTTTTAACTTGAACTAGTCAAAAAATTGAAATGTTAACAATATTAACACAGAAATTTTGTTAAAACCCAACAATCAGTTTGCGTTAAACATTTTATGAGGTTAATATTTTACATAACAAACAGGACGTTCAATGATGTCATAAAACAAAAAACATGAAAAACAATAACCCTATTAAAAACAACAACAACAGCAGCAACAACAAACAACAACAACAACAAACAAATAGGTCCGCAAACTGAACCTGAACTTCAACCCGCTGAACGGTGGGCTGAAGAACACATCATTTGATGGCTTGCAGGACAGCTTGGTGGAACTCTACCTTGGCAGTTGCGACCTCTATCAGCTGCCCGCCAAAATTTTTTCAGGTTTAACTTTCATAAAATGTTTACGTTACAATATTCAACTTAACTTATAAGTATAAAATAACACTCAAGCAATTCTGCGCTTGGCAGAGCCGCATCATAAAGAATGAAAAAATACATTATAGGTAAATGAAGCGTTTTAATATTTCCGAGTTAGTTTTATGTAATAATCATATTTTAAAACATTACGAATAAATTCTTTCAAATGATTAGAAGTTTCAATAAAACTCTAACAAATTAATACCATTAAATTTACTAAATTGTAATTTACTTTTTGTATCATCTCACTGTCAGTTTTAATTTAACTCCATTATAAAATTCATAAAATTAATAATATATAATTCATTATATTAATGATACAACCAACATAGCGTTGAATACAAAATTTTTACGTGGTAATTTTAATAAACAAATAAATAATAATTATAATTAATGAATTGACTAATTAAATAAATTTCTTGATAATAATATTAAAATGATATAATAAAAATGATAATTCAGTAACTTACAGTAACATGCAACGAACATTCCAGGTATGCGTCAACTCCGACATCTGCATCTATGGGGCAACAACATCGTCAGCTTGCAACCACGCATTTTCCAGGACCTCACCAATCTGCAAGAACTCATCGTTTGGGGAAATCAGATCACCAGAATAAGTGGCGATGAATTTTATGGGCTGAGAAACTTGAAGAAGTTGGATTTGGATAGGAACAGCATCGAATCAGTGCAAAGGAATGCCTTGTCAAGTCTCAAGTCGCTACAGATATTACATCTTGGACATAACAAATTTAAAGTTAGAAGAATTTTTTATAGATGTAGTAGGAGTTGATAGAAAGTTTCAATTTAGAATATTGCTACCTTTGGTCAAAGTTTTATAGAAAATTTAAATAAAGTTTTAATTTAGACTCATAAACATTACCATTAAGTACTAAAATAAATGAACGATTACGAAATTAATAAAACCGCGCAAATGTAATGTTGAAATAGCTACCCAATTGTAATGTTAAAACAAAACAACCGCGCAAACACAGACGGCACCACAACAACCGACCAACACAACCACCAGGTCTTTGAAGCAGACGTGTTCAACAACCTGTCTGCTCTGAAAGTTCTCAGCTTGGACAGCAACCAGATCAACCAACTGAAAGGAAATTCGCTATCGGGTCTTCAAAATCTCTACACTCTCGCTCTTAATAACAACAAAATTAAAACACTCAACGCCCAATGGCTGACCAACGTTAAAATGTTAACAAACTTTTTCCTCCAGCACAACAAACTAAACGAAATATGGCCCGAAATATTTACTCACCTGAAATCGTTGAGACGGCTGGATCTCTCGTTCAACAACATCGGTTCTTTCAAGGAAAACAACTTTGTTTCACTCACCAACCTCCGCTATTTGTACCTGGACAACAACAAACTCAAGCATCTAGATAAGTTAGTTTTCATTTACGAAGAACTTCTAATGAAGTATGTTGCATTATATTTTCACCAAACATTCTAATGACATTGCAGGTGCATTTTGCCACAGCCAATAAAATTGAAAGTGATATCAATCTTGGGCAACTCGTTCACATGCGATTGTAAAAGCAGTTGGATGGTGGATGTGGTCAACACCACTCAAATCTGGGGAACCTGCCTCTCAGTTCGGCAGGCAAACATCCCACGCTCCGTCTATCTCAATCCCATCAAACCGTGCTCCAAACAATGTGGTAAAGTCACGAAGACGTTTTAAAGTTTCAAATTACTATACTACTCCTCAACTATCAAAATAAGTTGTATAATAGTTAGTAACAGATTGAAATTGCAATTTATGAAATTATATGATGAAATTAAATTTAAAGATTTAGATGGTTGGTTGAACAGCAAGGCGTATGGTCAGTAAATAAGCGTTTGGCGCGCATGAAAAATTGTTAATATGTATCGGTTGGAAGTTTTTCTACCTATACGATTGTTTACATAGAGGTTATAACTTGAAATTGAGTTAATTATACAAATTATAAAATAATTTTTAAATAAATCAAATTTTATAAATTGCATCACCAATTCCCATTGTGAATCAAATAGATTAAATAGTTAACTGCATCTGTGCCAAGGATGTAATAAATAAGGTAATAGGGGATGGATAAAATTATTCCACAACGTAAACAACGGTATCTATAGCTCAACATGCAAGCCATTGGTGGGGCGTCGAGATGAATTTAAATAAATATTTTAAGAATTTTTATATATTGGTAGAAAATAAAAAATGCATGAAAATATGTTGAAATGCCTGTTGAAATTATGTTCAAACTGTTCAGAACGCACTACGATGAAAGAATTTGATCGATTTACTAGTTTTCATTTTATTTATTTTAAATTCCGCTCTTTCTCAAGCTGTCATTAACATTTTGTATTGTTTCTAAAATATTTTCATCATCATTTTTGTCATCATGGTCGTCGTCATCACCTTTTGCAACAAATTACTTTAATAATTATCATTATCATCCTCATAATCATCTTCCTCTTCATCATCATCAAAACAAAAGAAAATACCCAACATTGTTAAAAACCGTTAGCATCCTATTCGATATCATCATCAACACTGAGATATCACTCACATCAACACCATCTTCATCATCACTAGTTAATGATCGTGGAAACGATGAAGGTATCATTTTTTATCATTCTATGCTAACTTTCATTGTCGGTATCGTAAAAATCTAACAATTTCTAAATTACATATTTCGTTTAACCCATCCCACACAATATTTTAAAAAAATATTCGATATATACCTTTCGAGGAAAATTATTTTTTCATTTATTATACAAAAAATACAACGTATTACTTTCTATTGAAATGATTGACAAATCGTTTCTTCAATCTGTTAAGTTAAGCTCTAGGGAATACATAGGAGTCTGGTAATCTGTTAAGTTGTATGAATAAGGCCATCTATACGGTCAAACCCTCAATACTAACCTAAATAAAAACTCTAACAATTATTAATTATAACGAATGCATTAATTAAAGTAAATTAGAAAATTAGATTGTTGTCCATTAATTAAGTTTGTTCAGTTTATAATTGTTGAAAATATTCTGATGATTTTTTTCATAGCAATATGATAATTTAGAGCTAGAAACATTACACGTTGTGTCATATGTAGTAAAACCATCAATAGAATAGCAAATTTGTGTATAATTACAGCATGCATATATTAACATATAAGATTAAGACTGTCAGATAGTTAGTTAACTTCCTGCTTAATTTTTCAATTTTTTTAACAATTGATCGTAAATCATTGTCAAGTTTCTTGAGTTCAAAACACAAATTTTTGTTTATTTTAAGCATGTTAAAACATTTAAGCAATTTTTCCGTATTCCTTTACCATCTTTATTGTTTGTTTAATGTGAATACGTCATTTAGTTAGTTATTACGATCTTCCACTTTGTACAATATGATAACTAACTAAATGACAGTATATATATACTTGAGCATTCTGCCACATACACAACTTAACCAATTCTAACACCGAAGATGGTATAGGAATACCGAAAAAAGCTTCTTTGTTCTATCATGCTTAACTGTTCTATCATGCTTATAATAAATAAAAATTTTGGTTTTGAACTCAAGAAACTTGAGAATGATTTACGATCTGCAGTTGGAAAAATCTAAAAAATTTAATAGGAAAATAACTCACGTGGAACATGCTGTGATTTTCATCAATAATATATATATATATATATATATATATATATATATATGTGTGTGTGTGTGTGTGTGTGTGTGTGTGTATTATATAATTATATATAATACATATGCATATATATATATATATATTATATGTATATATATAATTTAAAATGTAAAACAAAATATTGCATATTATATAAGAAATTAATTCGTGGCTCTTATTTTAACTTTTGAAATTCATCTTCATCCTTATGAATGCTTTGTACATTTTAATTAAAAAACCACCTAATATTTTAAAGGCGTGCTTATTATGTTAGTGTACGTATGCATTTCTGTTAGATTTTTATTTAGGCATTCTTTCACACTTTTTGAACGTTACATGATCGGACGTTTCATTTCATTTTTATTATTCTTTTAATATAATTTCTCAAAACATTTTACATAAAATAAATCATGTTTTTCCAATCAAATCTGTATTAAATAAAGAGAAAATCACATCAAATACGTTGTATTCATTCAAGGCACTATCAACAAGTTAACGCTATATGGATGATGAGTAGATTGGGTGGGACCCTACAAAATATTGTTTACTGACATTATGTCGGGAACGAACGTAAGAGAATTCACAATGTAGTTGTTGTTATTGTTGTTGCTTGTGGCGGAGAAGTGGTTGTTGCCACCGCTGCTACATATGGTAAAAGGAAATCTTTGCTGGTAATTAAAGGGTTGCTGCTTTGTGCTGAAGTAGTTTGGCGACTCATAACAAAGTGGTATGGGTTCAATTTGGTTAACGTTGGCTACAAGAGCTGTTGCAAAGGAAGAAGGCATGATGCTGTTGACGTTGCTGAATGTTGAATGATGTTGAGCGACTGACTGCCGATGTTGGAGTAATGTTGGTGGACACATCTCGTTTTTTAAATGTTCTGGCTGCAACAATGTCGATTCAATCGGAAGATGTATCAATGTTTTGTTTTGTTGACTCTGTTTATGAAAGTTTGCTGTTGTTGTTGTTGTTGTCATGATGTTATTGAACAAATGGCGGTGGTCGGTACTTGTTGCATGTTGAAAGTCTTCTAAATTTGTTGGAATGGTTGGAATTGTAGTAACCGCGCTCCCAGAAATTTTTATTAAGTTTCTAGGTCCAAGTAGCTGCCATACGTCGTTGTTTCTGTTGTTAAAATTAAGACCGTTGCTTGAGTCGTTTATATTGATCACGGCGACGCTTTCATTAAGAACATTTTTTTTCAATTTACTGTCCTAGGGAAGAAAAATAAATAAATTTAGTCAATCAATAAATGCGTGTAGTGTGCTCTGACTGTTGGCATTACTTTTTTAATTTAATGAGCAAAATTTTTAAAAATCTAAAATAACTTTGTTAGCGTTCTGGTGGTTATCATAAGGCCTGCTTCTGTGAGCCTTCTTCAATTCACTGTTGAACTTCTTACAACTGTAAATTTGTAAAACTCAATCAATTCTAAGGTATGTTTTTAAAATCATTTTTTAAAAATACTATTCCTATCTTGAAAATTTTATAAAATAAACAGCATAAGCTGGTGGATGTGAATTGCATGCTTCGGTCAATAATCAAAAACACTAAGGCTATGAACGATGCTTCATAAATGTATAAATTTTGCGTATGGCATTGCAATTTTTTGTGTATTTTAAACAAGCCTTCATATAAAAATTTTGTTTCCGGTTAGTTAAAAATAAGCTAACAATTTGTAGGAATGTGTTTGTGACTTCGATTCATTTGTTATCAAATTCACAACTCGGCTGCTGTCGATGGCTGGCTGTGTGGCGAACTTCACTGTTATCGGAGAACCGAATTCGACTTTGCCGTTCAACTGAGTGACTGCACTTTCAGCTTCTGATCTCAAATCAAATCTGATGAAAGCCACCCCCTTGCTCAAACCTGTTGAGCGGCAAGTTAAATAAATGCTAACAGTTTTCTTAATGTTAAATATGTCAACTTTATTCCTAAAATAAAATTGTTTTAATTTAAATTTTTTTTGGAAGTTTTTAAATGTTTTTTAATTTTAATTTTTAATAGAATTCAAAAATTGCTAACAGGTTGAATATTTATTAAAATCTTGCGCCATATTAATTTACTAAAAAATTATTAATTCTAAATTTTTGTCTCAAACTGATCTTTTCAAAGACAGACCTGTGCCTGGATCGGACAATATTCTGGTCGATATGATGTTGCCGTATCTTCCAAACAAGCCCATCAAATCGGATGACTTGACGTGAGCTGGCAGGTTGCTCACATACAGGTTGGCTCCTTTGATTGTTTCGCTGCTGGGTCGTGCCTGAGACACCTGCAATGAAATATCATTTAACATTCATTTTACTGTTTAACTTATTACTCAACTAATAGAAGTAAAATAATATTTATCTTATAGAATAAAAGTTAAAAACGACATTTTAAAATTATTTGTTCTGATCATCAAGTTAAGAAATCAGCTCTACAAGTTGCTAAGTTTGCAAATTAAAACTATTTTCTTAGCTCACATGTAATGCAATTATTATGTGGAGGTCTTGAATACATACTCCATTATATCGCATTTGGATGTAAAGGAAAATGAAAGACTGGATGGCTCGATTTAGAGATTCAAAAGGGCGAAAAAGTTGTTGACAATCTTTTTCTGTTTATTCTACTTTGCATACAATTTGGCAATGTTTAACTAGTGATTTTAACAACTGTTGTCTGGGAAAATGCAAAAACCGAGTTTCAGTTGCTGGCCAGAATTTATTTTTTAACATTTATGAGGCTCCTTACTTAGTTAAGGTCCGGTCCACCACGTAAACCGTCCTAGACGTAAGGACTGCATTCATGTATCTACTCTTTCAGTTTTTTCAGTACATGATCCAAGAGTAATAAAATTATAAATTAAACGCTCAGCTAAAATAGATTGTTTGAGAAATGTTAAAAATTGAAAATGAATGGTAATGACCTTGATAACTTTATTTTGTATCTTCAATCCGTTGAATGTCTGCAGGGCTTTCACTGCTTCGTTGGCATCTTTGTATTTAACGAATCCATACCCGAGACTGTGCCCTGCATTTATTTTATATGATTCTTCGTTGTACGATGTTAACTTATATGATTTATTTAATTATAACATTATTATTAATGTTAATAATGTCTTTCGATGAATTTAAAATGAAATGGTTAAATGTTAAGAAAATGTCCAGTCATTATTCGTTTTAAAAAATCAGATGGCCAAGTATTTTTAAAGTTTTCCGACTCCTCAAATCATCACGCACTCTTCTGTACTTCAGCGTTGGCAGTTTCAAGTGCTTCAGTCTATCAACATATTTCATCTCTCAGATGAAATATGTTGATAGACTGAAATAACGCTTTTGATTGTTTCAATCTGAGGTAGAATACACGGAGACTATACCGTTGCAGCATATTCTAACTGTGATCTAACCACTGATTTATATAACAATAAAAAAATTTTAATAATGTTTTTAAAATGTCTATTCGAAATTCCCAGAATTAAAGAAGCCCAATTAATGAAATTGTGAATATGTTCGGTTAATTTTAATGATCTATCAAATAAAACTTCCAAATCATTAATATTATCTACAAATAACAAATCATATGCAGCCTTATTGTACCAAGCATCAGTTCCTACATTTGATCCATAAGTCATCGTAACACACCTCTCAACGTTCAATTTTACATCACTCATCCCACACACCATTAGTTTAACATATTTATATCCTTTTGCATCACACTCCTATCATTGTCAGAATTTATAACTTTAAACATCTTGGCATCATCAACATGCACCATTATATCCAAGCTGATTCTATCACTGTATAAATCTAACAAAACATTCACATAAATTGAAAACGAAATTGGCCCCAGTGAAACTCCGTTTTTAGCCATGTAATATTCAGACATGCAATCATTCACTCTTACTGGAAACTCTCTACCATCAAGATAATCACGCACCTAAGCAACAACCATGCCATTTATTTCATAATCATTCAACTTATCAATCAACTTAATATGCTTAAAAGCTTTCTCAAAATCCGAATAAAACACATCGACAGTATGTCCATCATCTATTTCCTTGGTCCACTGATCCATCAACTTTAAAAGTTGCATAACAGTCAATTTTCCCTTTATAAAACCTTATTGTCTGCAGTTTAATAAATCACTTTTATTTAAACACATTACAATTGCATATTAGAGATATGCTGCAAAAATTATATAATTTATTCTTTGTTAATGAGCATTGTATAATGTTCGTGTCTATGAAGAAAAACAACATTGTTTTTATTGGGCTACTTCGTAGAGATGCTAATTTCATATCAGGCAAATTTCGTGACAGTACTAAAATAAGGAAGATAAGTAGAAGTGTTGATTATATCAAATATAATATCTAAATCTTTATGATTTCATTTGATCCAAGCTGTTTTGTGATTACAATAAATTAAAAAAAATCATAGAAAATCATTACAAACTTTAGTAAAATTAGAATAATGGAAACTCTTTAATGAAAATTTAAGTTTTGTGGTAAACTTTAAAAGCATCATGAAGCAAGGAAAAATGAAAAAAATTAAGGGTACAAAATTTTATCATAGAGTTAGTTTTAAGAAACCGAATCAGAACGCAATCACTCTTTATTCTGAGGCCTGCAGATTGTCAGCCGGTCTATTTCATCTTTACTATCGCCAGTTGCACACTTTTTACCATAAATTACCACTCCACTGCCAGCATAATAATTGAAAAAATTATTAGAACAGTATTAAAACTGTTTGAAAATTCACCAGTTTTAATTTTTAATCTTATATCACGATTTTGTTACGTCATCTTGTTTGTTTACATATTTTACATTCTCTACATGAAATTCAGTATATTTTGCAAATTAAACATTCCCTTTTTAATGTTTTTATATTTAATTTATAACTATTGTGAAATAACTAAATTTATACTGTGATAGCTAACAAAAGTTTCAGGCGTGTAGACACTTTTAGAATTTAAACGCATAATAAGAAGTGATGTAAGAAAAATGAACTGCCATAAATAGCAAAATATGTCAGCACTTTCAAATTCATATAGTAACAACACCGTAGCACAAGAAGCGAGCATTCACACATTTTCAAGGGATGGTAATGCAAACAACCATTCTCCTTATGTTCAGATTAATTGTCAGCCATCAGCAACTTCATATCAGCAGCCAATCAATGAAACGAAACAGTGTGAACCGATGTTGAAGGGTGCCTCTAAGCAACAAAACCATTTGAACGTTGGTCAAAACAGCAAGCCTCATTTCTTCAAGCCTCAAAATCTTCTCACTTCCCCCTCGCAAAATACAAAATATTATGCTAATGAAAAAAGTAAAGATTTGTTCAGGGCATATCTAAATGTTCGACCACACAAGGAAGAAATGAACGACACCCAGTTAAGAAGACTGGATCAAATAACAAGCAGATGCGAGTCAAATAATTCTGAAACAAATCATAATTTTAATTTTGACAATTTATCTTTAAGTTTTCAAAATCAAAACGCCTCGTTACATGATGTAAACTTGCATTCCAGTAAACTCGATTTCTTGAATTCACAGCCTATTGAGCAACATGCTCAAAAATCACCAAATCACGCCCCAATAAACGTTGACCAAACAATAAACATTAAAACGGATTCTAAAAATAAAGATTTACTCAGTCAGTATATTTCAATGAATCAACAGAGCCATGAATCCAACTTGCATCAATCTTCGAAAGAACCGACAAAAACAAGTACATTGAACAATTCAGCGATCAGCAAGAATTGTTCAAATAACAAAGCTGAACTTGACAACAACTGCTTCAATAATCTGATCATGCGACAACAACAAATGGAAGCCAGGGATCCATCTCTCAAGCAAAATTATCTCAAGAGATACTCCTGGACTCGACAAACTGATACATTTTACAACATATTTGGAGGCAGGTTTACTGAAGATGAAGATAAAATTTCAAATAATAATCAAATGAAAGATGATAACAACAACGATGGAAAGTTATCTAAGTATGAAGTTATTAATGAGCTGAATGCTAGAAAACAATCTGATCTTGACAGTTCTGTTGATAGCAAAGCAATAACAAACATTTCTAACAAATCAAATGAATGGAAAAATGCGGTTGACACTAGTGAAGAACATGTCCACTCTAAAAACAACATATCTTGTAATAACAAATATTCTGAAAAAAACGAAAACAAAGGCAGTTCGTTTGATTTCAAGAATAATTTTAATAATCATCATCAAAATAAATTTTTTACAGCCATTAATCCCAACAAACACAGGGAGGTATACAAAATGCAGTTGAAGCATTTGGAAACGTCGAAGAACAACGAGGACAGCGAAAGCCTGCCAGAGACTAACCAGATTCCTCTTACGAAAGAAGATGATAGTTGTGCGTCAACCGACGCATCTAGCGATGTAAGCAATTACAATGCAGTTAGACATCCCACCAGATGTCAGGCTTGGATGAATGAGAACAAAATGAGCAAACGCGTTCTAGATCACATTTCTGGAGACGATTCAACAAAATCACCCAGATTGGTCCAGCCTCTCTATAGAACTATAAACGATGGGAAGACAAAAAAACATGTTTCCATAAAACTTGATAACAATTTGCATGAAGAAGTTTCTGATATATGTAACATAGACGATTATGAGCTTAGCAATCACATTAACAACTTGGAATCAAATTTAAATTTTCCCAGCAAATTGGATAGCAAGTTCGGATCAACATCAGCTCCATTTGACACGGACAATTGGTTCAAACAGGACCACCAAGAGCAAACCATTGGTTATGAATGTGGAGAAAGTTCCATGGACAATATGGATCCACTGCAAGTTCAAAGTTTTTCAGTTCCTGAGAAGCATTCGAACAACCCGTATCATTTGCAAAAACCAAAATTGAGAACATCACAACACTCATGTATGCCTACAGTAAAATCGGAAATGATTTCGGTACAGCCACCGCATTCATTTTTTACTGAAACAAATCATTCCAAGAATCAGAGACCCAAACTGAAACTGTTCAATAAACAACAGCCACAACAAACGCATCACCAACTTTTAAATCAACAAGGTTTGAAGAGAAGCGAATGCAACTGGTTCAGGGACAGCCAAAGTTCTGGATTAAACAAAAAATGCATGCCACTAACAGATTGTAGATACAATTTTATGTGTAAAGAAAGATAAATACTGACTAGTAGAAAATAATAAAAAAAATTTCTTTTCTTGACCAAATTTAATTATTAATATCTAAAAATTTAACTTCAATAAATGTCTTAATTGAGCCATTTATCTAGAATATTTGATAATAAAACATTTCATGACTTGAACAATCCATTTTAAAAAAATAAAACGAATGGTAAACCTAAGACACGAATTAAAACTAAAAACAAACAATGAACAGAAATATGGGACCAGTGTACCAACAAGCATGTAATATTACTTTTTCAATTTGATGTGTTTTCGTTAATCTAATTTACTTTCAAAATTTAAAAAATATTTTATTTAATGAAACTACCCAAAAAAATCATCCTACTACTACCGTACCGTACATCCAATAAAGTGCGGCGGCTCACATTAGCATAACGTTATTGTGTATCATGAAGTTTTTTTTCCAAAAACCATAGATGAAACATTTTGCAGCTCAAACGTGCAAACAAAAAAATTAAAGGTGAGTGTTTGTTTAATCATTTAATGAAATAACTAAAATAAGCTGATTTTCAGAGGATTATTTGAGCGCTCTCTTCGTCTTTGATTTCTTTATTTTTCTTTATTTTTCTTTATTTTTCTTATTTATCTTTCTTTAGATTTTTAAAACATTTTTTCAAATTATTCAACCATTGCATTTGTCATTGTATTTGTATGTTAAAAATAATTTCAATATTTTGCAAGAAATAACAGTTTAATGAATCTAACTCATTGCTATTCATAATTGCCCGATGGGTATTTTTCAATCCAGAAAAAACTGAACTGAAAATAAAATAATACTGGAAACAAATTATTTTTATTCAAATTATTCGTTCTGGAGAGGGAATGACATAAAAATGTATGTGATCTGATACCAAAATTTGTTAAGTAAACCTATTAAAAATTTTGTTCAACATGGTGACGGAAACTACGTGACTGTATGGTAAGAATTAACTTTCCATTCTTCCCGTTGCATCACTCAGCTAATGAGATTCAGGCCCATGGTCGTGGAAGCACTGATCACTGCTTGTAATCCAGCATCACCAAGAAGTTCGCTGCTTATTATCATATATGTACTGTGTGGGTTGCATGCTTGCGATGAATACAAATAAAATGCCAGCTCCCATAGGATGGTTCATCTTACTGTTGAATCTGGAACGTGCACTTTTGTACTAAACTTTCAACCAGACTTCTAACTGAAAACTTTTCTCATCTTTTACAGGATCTCAACAACAAATCAATAACGCATCTATGTTTAACCCTATCAACATCTTTTAAACAATTTCTAATCAAAATATTTTTGCAGAGACAATTTAGCATTGAGATATTTACAGTTAACTCACTCATGATCAAACATTTAATTTACAAGGCTGTTAAAAAATAAATATTAACTGTTTTTATTTCTCAATGCGTTATTCTGATGAAACGTTATCAGACTTATACAGTATATACGGTGATTTTTTTAAATTTGTTAAAATTTGTTTGCAATTGTAGCTTCAGATCAGGTTAGCTTCGTTTCTATAGGAGTTAAAGAAAACTAATAAACTCGGTGTAATTAATAAGCACTAATAAGCATTGCATTAAAACATATTAGAAATCCTTTCAAACTAGTGAGCCGAAAGTTATGTGGAGAGAAATGTAACATTATTTAATAGAACAAACTTTGAAAATGCTTCAATGTGCTGACATGCCTTAACATAAGCAGCAACCACTGAGTTACTTTCTTCAAAGAGCCACCCAAGAAGGAAAGCAAAAGTTGAAAATAAGCATCAACTATTTTATGATCAGCAGCAAGCAAATAAATGTACGTGGTGATAAATTGCAAGTTAAGTGTTGGAAGCCGACGAGCATAAAATGAAACATTTCGTTGTTGAGCTGCATTCCGATACGACATTAAACAACTCTTAAATATGTAAAGTCAAAAACTTCAGTTGTTATGTTGTGTTGTTATTATTATTATTATTTTATAATGCTGTTTTGCTCTAATACACAAGTATTGGATAGGTAATCCAAATAAATTTCAAACAAAAATTGTATAAAAGAGTTGAAAATTAAAAAAAAGAAAATAAATTGGTTCTCTTGGCACAGAGATCAAACGTAAAAGTATCGCTTCAGAAGATAATCTTCTATTCGCTTCATCTTTTTCATTACATATATAATATTATTATTATCATTACAATTCGTTGTTCTTAGTTATTATTATTATTATTATTATTATTATTAGTAGTAGTAGTAGTAGTAGTAGTGCAGAATTCGATGGTATATTAAGTGACTAGCCTATATTACACTCTTGATATATTATCATACATCGTATGAAGAACGGTAAAAATGACGTCATTCATAGTGCAGAAGATGGCTAACAAATGGTGAATGCATGCCTGGGTTGGTGGTGTTTGTTCTTGTTTCATGCCTACATCCAGAAAGCATTGTTAAACATTTCTTATCAATCTTTAGTTGTTAAAACGTTGGAAGAAGATTTTTTCCTATATTTTTTTGTACTTTGTGGATGATGTGGAAAAGTCTTCAAGAAAGTAAACATTGAAAAAAACGTTCGTTACATAATGAAAGACAAAAAGCTGATAATGATTATTAGTTTAACGGTAATGGTGGTGATGATAAAAATGATGCTGATGATGTTGATGATGATAACAATGAAGATGACTGACACAATTTCACTGGCGGTTATAATTATGGTCAAGATGACGATAAACTAAACTGATGACAATACCGTAATGGTTTCTATGCTGACACCGATAATGGTGAAGGTGATGAAGGTGGTGAGTGAATGACTATGTTATGTAAACTTGTGGACTTGGATTGTTTGGATAAAGAACAGTTTCAAAGTAAATTATACGTGATCTACATAAATTCTGAATCATATCTTTTGCCTATCATGAAGAGCAGGGCGTTTGTTAGTGTTGTTACGCGTTTGTTGTTGTTGTTGGTGGTGTTGTTGTTACTGGTGATGTTGTTGGTGCTGGTGGTGTTGTTGTTGCTGGTGATATTGTTTATATTGTCGGTGTATTTTTTGTTTCTAGACTGCTGTTTTTATTGTAGCCGGTTGCCGTTTTTCACTGAAATGTATTAACATCAGGAGAGTTCTCGCAAAAACTAATTGTATTAATGCACTTAGTGCTACAAATATGGGTGATGAAGTTATAATGTTGTTGTAGTTGTTGTTGTAGTAATTGTTGTTGTTGATGGTGATGACGATGAAGATGATGACGATGATGAGGCTATAAAATATATAAAAATTAAAAAATTTTATGTTAATAAAAACTGAAAATATTAGACTAGATGAAACAAATGTGTGTGATTGATGATGGTTAATGGTGATTGAAACTTCATCCATCCCCTCGCTAAAACATCTCACGAATTTAAAAATTTAAACTTTGTTATAACAACTTCGTTCGTCTTTCAATTTCTCATTTTGTTTTTATTATCCATCAAGCAGTCATTAATTTTCTAAAACATTTTTCTTATTACTTGATTATTGTTGTCCTACCTCTTCTTCATCCTGTTGCTGTTACATTTTTATGGTTTTTAAGTAACACCGACCTCAAACGCTGCTGCTGCTGTTGTTACTAATATTTTTGTTGTTTATTAATCAAAATTTGTTGTAATTGTTTATAAAAATGATTTTAATGTATGTCTTTTAGTTTGTTGGTTTGTTTGTTGGTTTTTAGGTTTGTTTGTTGGTTTTTTAGTTAGTTTGTTGGTTTCTTTGTTGGTATGTCTGTTGGTTTCTTTGTTGGTTTACACATAAATTTTTAATAAAGTGTGTGTTATTATTGTCGATGTTGCTATTAAAATAAATAAAAGTAGACCAATCGCACATCACCAAGACACAAATTTGGTGCTATGCTCTCGTTTTGCAAATTCTCATTCTCACTTCATTTGCGGACACAGGCATTTACTTGATTTATCAACCATACATCATGTTTATTTTGCTTATATCCGATAGTTGTTTTTTCATGTAAACCATTCATTCCTAAGTGCAAAAAATGATTCTGATTTTGAACTGACCATTTATAAAAGTTTGATTTGATATTTGTTCAACTTTTATTTCTAAAAAATAATTTAGTGGATTACTGTTTGCAAGTCCATCAATCACAATTTTTTTTTCATTTGTTGAATACCAGTCAATATGATGTTTTACTAAAGCAACAACAACAACAAAAACCAAAAACAACGACAATACAAACCCGAATATTGTTTTTTATCACAGCAGTAAATCGGATTTACAAAAATTTACAAACACGCACGCCATGAATGGAGTTTCAAAGTTGGGCCCAGATGTTCGCAGAGAAATAAATACATCAAGCAGGAACTTATTTCACAATTTGCTATCTATCCTGAAGACGTTTTCGACATTTTTTAAAATCAAACATTTTAAACAAAAAAAAAACTAAATCTGTGCTTACTTTTTATTCTACATACCTAAAAAAATAACTTTAAAAATAATAATATGTGAGAGGAAAAATGAAGATGAAAAAGAAATTAGTAATTGGATTAATTAATAATACAATGGTTTTAAATGATATGTATCTTTTGACAAGCTAAACAAACAAAAATACAAAAAAATGTATGAATATGAAAACATGTAACTTACAGCAACGGAAATTTATAAATGAAGAGAGTAAGAAATGGAAGAAATAATTAATAAGTCGTCAGATTCATCGAGCCAACCTTAACCCAATTCAGTTGAAGGTTTGTTTGTGAATACAGGAAAGAGCATCATTTTTTATTGTTCTGTTGATAACCCGTTGAGTCGCGCTTCAACACGTTCAAATAATTTTAATTTCATTGACTTGATTTATATAAAAGAGGCAGTTTTAACATTTTTCTCTACTGCAAATACAAAAAAAGTTGTCATCAAACTGATTTATTTGCGCATTTATAACTGTATATTCCCATAAAATAAATACGCACACACACACACGCGCGCACACACATACATACATACACACACAAACAGGCATACACACTATGCAGCGTACCAAGGGTAAAGTAGGAGATGAGATCCAGGTGACCGAGTGTAGAAGCGCTAAATTGGTAAAAAAAACGCGAAACCACTTTAAACAATGAAAATTTGTTTAATGAATTAACTGAATTGTGCCATTTTAACTTGAATCAAAGTGAAAACACTTCAATTTATCAAGTTAAATGATGTTTAATTTGAACACTGCTGGTTCTTTTCAACTCAACAATTCTTTCTTTTCTTATTCATTATTTAAGTAATCATCAACGTTTTTATTTTTCTAAATTTGTTTTTTATTTAGTCTGTTTATTGCATTTTGTGTTAATTGTTGTCAGCGCTAACCCACACAAAATAATTATCCGGTCTCAAAATAAGATTAATTCACTTAAATTTTGATTGAATAAATGTTGTGTGCGTTTGTATATATGATGTGCCGGTGTTATAAAATAACATTGCAAATCAAAGGTTCCAACTTGAAGTCTTCTATTTGCACATTGCTATTAAAAACAAGAAAAAATCGTTATGTCAGAAAGGAGCCCAAACCTGAAAATTTTGCAAATGTGATCCAATGATGTGAGATCGAATGGCAGTTAAAAAAAATGATTAATTATAATTGACTGGTTTTATTCGCATGTCTTTCTGTTGCTGCTGTCGTTGTTGTTGTTCGTCGCTGTTGTTTCTGGGATTTTGTTTGTAATCGTTTATTGTTAATTGTTTGTTGTTGTTTGTTTGATGTTTGTTGATTGATTGAATGCTGAAGAACTCGTATTGAACTCTCTCTCTTTCACTAACAACTTTCCTTTGTTTGTTCGTCAGGTAATGATTGATGTTCTATTTGGAAATGACAACCGCATAATTATGCTTTTTCTATTTTTTTGTTATTTATATAGAGTATAAAAATGTACGAAAATATTGTGGGAGATATTTTTAAAAGATCTGATGAGGACGTGTAAGATAGGATGGCGAGGAAGAAGATGAGGAAGATGATGTGGCGATGAAGATGATGAAGATAATATTTGGTGAAAAGAATGATGATGATAAGAATGGTGTTAGTAAAATAAATGATGATAATGAGCTCTTATTTCCACTTGAATGACTACAATAGTTTTGAAAAATATTTTGCTCATCCGGTAGTTCTTTCTTTCCGTAATGTGTAGCACATATGTTTTGAAATTTCGTTTAGTTTTGACTGAATAAAAATTTTTCAATAATATATTACAAAATGTAAATTTAAATATAGTTATTTATTCGTTTATTACCTTAAAATAATTTTATAATTTATTTGGTATTACATATAAACTTCTATATAGGTAAACTATTTTTAAACATCTCAAAATCTAAAAAATCATGGTAAAAACTTATAACATTTTTTTACAATATTTTAAACATTTTCATATTTACACAATTTTTCATATGGTTAGAAAAATCCCAACAATTTTAAATTTTTTCACTTCCTGTTGCTAGGCTGTTGGAACGTTGGAAACATTTCAATAAGTATGCAATCTGCGACTGATCGTAGAGTACTGCGCTGTACTGTGTGTTTCCTCTACTTATCAACCCATTACTTAATATTTTTAAATAACAAGAATTTTTATAAATACTGATACAAATTAAACTAATATATCAAATATTAATATTTTGAAACAATTGAAAATGTAAGAAGATTGACAAAAATACAAATAAAATTATAGTTTTTTGTTCCTCAGTATCCATCAAGATATTTTTCATTGGCATCTCAAATTTTTAAATATCTAAATAAATGTTATCGTTAAAAGAAGATTTTTTAAACCTGTCACTTTGTCCCTGACGAGTTTGCAACTTTCCAGCTGACCAACACTTTCGAAGAGAGACCTCATGTCGTCCTGGTTCATGAAGGCAGGAAGGTAATTGACGATCAAGTTGGAGTTGTTGTTGGAGTTGTTGTTGGAGTAGTTGTTGGAGTAGTTGTTGGAGTTGTTGTTGGAGTTGTTGTTGGAGTTGTTGTTGGAGTTGTTGTTGATGGTGTTTTTAGTATTGTTGGAGACAATGCTCTTGTCCATGGTAATTAAATTGTTGCTAATGTTATTTTTGATGTTAAGTTTCATGGTCGAACCCGTACTTTCGTTTCGCGTGTTGTTCGAGTAGTCATTTTCTCCCGCTAACTCGCTTCGGTTCGACTGACTGTTCACTTTGTCGTTAAGTTGATGTGTATCTGCAGTGATGATGTCATCAGACGATGTCACGCATGAGTGAGATGATGATAATGAGGAGGAGGAGGATGAAGATGATGATGAGGCAGAAAGTGATTGTTTAGTGAGTGGAAGCAATGGAGATTTTTCGGTTGTTGCTATGGTTACGTGGGCTATCCCCGCGTCAAACGTTGTTGCCATTGTGCTGATGTTACTATCAGTTGTGTTGGGGTTTTAATTCTGTCGTTGATGTTTCTGTTTCTGTTATTGTCGTTGTTGTTGCTGATGTTGTTGTTGTTGATGTTGTTGTTGATGTTGTTGTTGTTGATGTTGTTGTTGTAGTTGCAAATATTGCTGTTGTTTTTTTTTGAAGATGTGGTAGCTGCTGTTGTTTCTCGTTGACGACAAATCCTGTGTTTTTCCTTATTTATCCACTGGTGAACTTTCTGAAATAAAATAATTAAATAATTTGATTCATTAATTTCACACATAAAGAGCAGTATCTCGATTAACATAACATCGGTTCAACTAGATCATGACATTTGTGAGATGGTTTACGATAACATTTTAAAATCAATCAGACCAAATAAAATATTCAAATTTTTTTGAAGAAAAATTCAATTTAATTGATGAAACATCACAAAACTCATGTCACGTCAACCTCACTTACAGTTTACTTTACAGTTTTACACATAGGTGTTTTTGCAGTGTGTGTGTGTGTGTATGTGTGTGTGTGTGTGTGTGTGTGTGTGTGTGTGTGTGTGTGATACAGTTTTTGTTTTCCTACTTCCATTTAATTATTTATTGCTGACCACTTAACATCAATTTTATATTTTTTAAAAAATTATTTTTCTCTAATATGAAGAGCGTAATAGCGTTAACATTTTTTTTTTACATTTGTTTATACATGCATGCTTATGTTGTATATTTTTTATAATATTTCTATGGAGCCTCGTGTTTCCTAAATCGTTGAACCCTGACCTCTGTGATGTTTTTTTAAAGATTCCTGCTACGAAATCATGTTTCACCATTCATACATTATTTTGCAGTGCCTTATTTACATGCTTCAAATTATATATTTATTTATTTTGCTGTTATTGTGAAAGAAAATTTTATTTTTATCATTTTTTAATTAAAATGCCAGCAACAAACTTTAGCAATTGCAAGATGTGAAGAAATGTACTGTTTCAGAAGATCTTATGAGATGGTGAAATGAAGTTAATGATAGGAATTTGTGTGATTGATCGTTGAAACGATTGATGTGATGGATGTTTGGTTTTGATGGATGTTCGGTTTTGATGGATGATCGGTTTTGATGGATGATCGTTATTTGTCCCCGTCATTCAATCAATCAGGCTGTGACGTGCGCATGACATACTCTCCTGACTTCTCAATTTTTTCTTCTTTGTTGAAATTACTTTCATCTTCTTTCATGACGTTGGTTGTACGTACTAGCAACATTCAGAACTACTGCTGCACACTAACACATTAACACATATACATAGATTCACGCACATACATTCACATATACCCATAGACTTACACACACATACTCAACCCGAACACAAAACACACACATACATCAAAATGATGAAAAGATTAGTTTGTTATTTAACCACTAACGGAAACAACATGGCATCAACAGTTACAACAACGATATGCATTACATATGGCTTCTTTCGAGAACGTGTAAGCCTTATTAATAATAATTCTCTTAGCTCAATTACCGTTTAATTTAAAAATAATGAAAAAAATTTTAATTAAATATTTAATGATTCATAACAGAATGAATATCTTTTGCAACTTGTTGAGTTGTTGATGTCGTTTGGATAGTGATTTTAATGAATAAAAACTCATGATGAAATTTCGTTTCGTCTTGTTTTAAAGAGGCAATCATAAAATTAATTTAGCGCATGTTACTGTCAACTGATATTTTTTAATTACATTATTTAGGTCTCTATTCAGTTATGGTTTAGAGAAGCATGTTTTATGCTAACACAATCATGTTCATCTTTTGATTAGTTGCATTTGTTTGTTAAAAACATGATTTGTATAAAATTCTACTAGGAAGTGATTATTGTCATAAATGCCACAAATTATATAACAATCTTTCGTTATATTTGTTGTTTCCTGATACGATATGTATAGATATGGCACAACAATTTTTAGTATGTTTTTAATTGCTTAACAATTTTTAGTATGTTTTGAATTTTCAACTGATGATTGTCTGCTATATATTTTTAAATTACTGCTGTGATAGGTTACGTAACTATGCTTCAGTTCTATTATCTTTGAATTCTTTTTCCAAGTTCTAGAAATAACATCGTGACGAGGGAGTATGTTGAAAAAGTTTTTATTCAATCATCACATGTGTAGCCGATGACAACTTTGTTCTTATGGATCTTCAGTTGATGTGTTGTAATGTTGGTGAGCATACATTCTGCAAACAGCATCTAAATGGATCAATTTTTAAATATTTTTGTTCACTTGGATATTTACTTAGTAGAATGAGTATAGTTATTGATGAGCTCGCTCACCTGTTGTTAATTATGCTTATTAATACACTTTCAATAGATTTTCGTTTTTATAAATCTTTCTAAAAACAAACGCTCGCACGCAGTTACACATAGACACACAAATGTTCTTAAACAAATGTTCTTCCTTAAACAAATTCACCCACGTTGGCCGCATCACGAGCCTGCTGCCTCCGTCATGTTTGCAGTCAACAAACGACGACGAAGCAACATCTGCCCCACGCTAAATCTTCAAAATCTCTAAAGCCTCTTCTTATGTGATGCATGTTTGAATGCAGTCGGTGCACAAACATTGACATCCAATCTGTCCGATATTGATTTTGTTTCTATTTATTACTCTGCTTTTACACCTGCTCGTTAAACGAACCAGCCTATAAAACTTTCCATACAGGCGATGTTTATTATATTGCACAGGTAGTAGAAACACGGTTGCAAACTTATACACACACACATAAACTTATACACACACACCACATACACACACACACCACACACACACACACACTACACACACATACACACATGCTAAATTATACACACATCACACATTCAATGTACAAATTACAAATCAACATGAAAATAATTACTTGCAAAAATGCTTACAATGTGAAAAGATGCAAGATGCTAAGTATTCTATGTTCTATGTGTGGTCAAAATAATGGGCCTTCGAATAAGAATTAATGAATGTAATATCAAAAATAATTTCGCCTAAAAACTAAAAGACAAAGAGCTTCACAAAAAAATTATTTAAAATTTGTCACAAACTGCTTCGTTCTTTCAAACTTTATTAAATGTCATTTCATTACCTTAACTATCGTGGTATTGAAAAAATGTTTTTTAGATATATTAAGTAAATTGCCATGCTTCCATTCAAAACTTTTCTTACTGGAAGTTCTAACAGGAACGTTTGAAATGTACCCTTCAAAGAGTTGTGGTATTGGATTTAATTTGTTGATTGTTGCACTCGAGATGGTAGTTAGTTTCTTTAGAATTGCTATATCTAGAATTGCACACCTGTGTGTATATATATATTCACATCGTATTTAGTGCAGCTAACAAATTTTCTTTCACAGTCAGATTTTTTTTATTTTTATTACCGTGAATCACGTTCACATTTTATTAAATTTGACAACATTTAAATTAAAAAGTACCAATTAATTAGAATATTCAGCTATATTTGTATGTTCATTTGTGTTAAAACTAATAGGTAAGAACTAAATAATACTCATGAATTTGCCTCAAAATGATATCAAAAATTTTTTTTGGATGAAACATTTTTATTATTGAAAAAAAATAAAAATGTTCAACGTGTTAGCAAATCCCACAGTTGATGAATTTGATACCTCAAACATGCAAAACACGTTCGTACATGTTCCCCGTTATAAGCTGTCAATGATTTTTTTTATTGAAACATTTAACATTTTTATCCAGTTTGTTAATTGTTAAGGGAGTCGTTTGACATAATTCAAACTCTGTTCATTCATTCGTTCGTTCGTTCACGCACTCACTTCCTCATTCATTCTTTCATTCGTTGCTTTTTTTCCATCTTTTTTCTTTATTACCTCATTCACCCATTCATTCATTCATTCATTCATTCATTCATTCATTCATTCATTCATTCATTCATTCATTCATTCATTCATTCATTCATTCATTCATTCATTCATTCATTCATTCATTCATTCATTCATTCATTCATTCATTCATTCATTCATTCATTCATTCATTCATTCATTCATTCATTCATTCATTCATTCATTCATTCATTCATTCATTCATTCATTCATTCATTCATTCATTCATTCATTCATTCATTCATTCATTCATTCATTCATTCATTCATTCATTCATTCATTCATTCATTCATTCATTCATTCATTCATTCATTCATTCATTCATTCATTCATTCATTCATTCATTCATTCATTCATTCATTCATTCATTCATTTTTTCATGGACAAAACGTTTTATTTCAATCATTGCATCGGTTTCAAGCCAAGCTTTGTGACTCATAAACATGTGTTTGAAATTTTTGTTTGAAGTTATTATCGACTATTTTCTATGAAACCTGAACAAATAAATGTTTGTACAAAATATATGTGTGTGCATGTGCGTGTGTGTGTGTGTGTAGTTTATGTCTGTTTGTATGTGTCAGCGTGTGTCAGTGTGTTTGTTCGCGTTAGTATCACATTTTCTAGAGCTGCACTCATATTTTGAAGTAATTCTTATTCACGATACAAGGAACTGAGGAGATTGCACAGACAAACAACACACATTCATCTGTTCACGTGTGCACGTGCTAGATGTCTGACACGTGTGTATGTCTGCCCAATGGAA